TTTTTTTTTTTAAGGAAATCCTTTCGCTCCAGTTGAGTCAAAACAATTGTAGTATAGTCAATATACGATAAATTACAAAAAGAAACCCATAAAAATTCCTAAAATTGAATAATAAATAGTATATGAGGCATTAATTGTTGAAATTTTGAAAATAAAAAAAAAATTAGTTAAATACAAAAATTAATTTGATTCTTTCAAATCAGCTGCTAGTAACCTGTCCGTGATTTGGCAAAGCTGTTCTTCGGTTGTTTACATTTTCATTTGCACATTATAACCTTAAATACGTTTAAGTTTTTGCAGTTAGTCAGTGTAAATAAATAAATTAATTTGAATTTATTGAATGGTCTGAAGCTCGCGCGCTACGCAACGTTGCCAAATATTTTGACTCCATATTAATGTAGGTTACTTGAGAATTTTTTGTGATTTTTAAATATTAATTTCTCAATAAATATCTCGGTAACTGATATATTTTATTGCAAAAAAAGAAACCTGAATATTTCGAAAATCTAATTTTTAGTTTTTTTTTACTTCATCTAATCCATGACTGATAGTATAATTCGAGAAATACTGCAAGCGTCTGACTTTCTCGTAAGACTCTGAACAAATACTAACATTTAAAAATTTTATTTTTTCAAAAATTTGTCCGGTAAAGTATAATTTAAACCTCACTATTAGATAAATAAAGACTTCAACTATTAGAAAAAAATTTAATTTACTCATAATCTAATATTTTTTATTTTACATTGGCGGCGAAAGGACCTCCTTAATAAACGTACTTGAAATAAATATTTTTTTTTTGTCGTAAATAACAATTAAAGAAGTTTTTTTTGAAGGATCTGGGAATTTAGGGCTTCTGGGATTAGATGTGAAATAACTTTTTGTCGAGTCATCGGAAATGGAAGAAATCATTGAATTGGATGATTAATACAAGAATGACTTAGCGAGTGAATTTTCCATTAGACCGCAAGATACAAGTCCGCCAAATTGAAAAATATAACTTTTTTAAACTATAGATTAATGAAAATATTTTTTAAAAATATTAAACAAAAAATTACTTAGATATTTCTTCATTATGAATGGTATACACTTCTAGTTATTTATTCGATTATTTGCTAATTTGTTTTAATTGTATTAGGTGACTCTGTAATTAGATTAACGGAAGCTTATTTAATTCTCTTGAGCAAAAGAATACGAGTATCATGGTTTCTACTGTAAAACCATTGAATTAAAAGCAATTACTTCTTAAGTTTAATTAATACAGAAAGGTTTTTTTTCTTATGATAATTTATTGTAATCAGTTTATAAATAGATTTATATTATCGTTAAATTTTCGCTTAACATATCAAGTAAATTTTTTAAAATTGAGTTTTTTTAATTATAAAATTCACAAATAATTAATTTTAAATTAATACAAATAACTTTAATAAAAAAAAATATAAAAAAGTTTAAAATTTTAATGTACGGTCAGCTGATAAAAATTAGTTTTATTTTTTATAATAAATATTTACACATAAAAACAAAATTAACTTGAATAAAAAAAATAATTTTAAAGAGTTTTATTGTCTTAAATGAAGCCAAAAAATTTTTGAAGTAAAATTTACTTGAACATAAAAAAATTTCTAAGTTTTTAAATTTTTCTACTCAAATCAAAACGATAAAATTCTTTTCTTACAATTTAAGTTAATTTTTTTTTTTAGTTTGGTAAATATGAATTTCTACTAATTATCAGTAGTAGATTAAGTAATGTCGATTTAATTGACCGAACGTTGAATACCATATCATGTGCATCGCGCGTAAACATCTTTATCTAAATATCCATTAAAAAAATAAATATATAAAAAATCAAATGTTTAAAAAACGGAGAAAGTGTTTCAATCTACATATGATTAAGCAAACATTTTCTTGTTTTAATTATTATGATTTTATCGTACTCTAGTCTGCGTTTTTTATTTATGAAGAGCCTTTATCAAAGAATTTTTTTTTGCTTGATGAAAAACAATTCGTGGTAGTGTTGTAGAAAAAATCAATTAATATATGAGAAAAATAGCAACATAACGTAATGCGTTATTATTATAACTTATAGCTTCTATATATAAAAAAAAATAAAAATGTTTGGATCAATAAATTTATCTTTTATAGAATCCAACTTTGGAAAGAAATAAAATGCGTATGTCAATAATGTAAATTATTACACCATCATGTAATAAAATAAAATATTATGTAGTAAAATATTATTTACTTAAATTTTATAATATATAAAATTGGTGTAAAATAAAATAAAAAAATTTTCCCTATGTAAGAATGCAATTTAAAATTTATTTTGCGTATTTAGGAAAGAGTCAAGAAAAGAATTTTTTATTTATAGAAATTTAAACAACTTTTTTTTTCTCTGTCAGCAAAACTTGTATTGCGCTACTAAGAATCTTATAGTACACTGTACAGTAAAAAAATTATTCGAATTATCATGAAGAGTATTGTAACAATCACAATTATTTTTGTCTGTGGCAAGACTTGGCTAACAATATTCGGATTCTGAGAAAAAAATTTTGTTTTAGTCATTAGTAACTTTTTAAATTGTGTTATTTCATTTAATTTTCTATTGATTCAAATATATTAAATACAGTTAGCAAAAATCTAAATTTATTTTTTATTATTTTTGGGTAAATAATTTATAATAAAAAAATTATTCAAAAATCTTCCATATAATTTTCTAAATTTTTATAGCTATTTTTAATAACCAAATTATCGAATTTTTTATTATAAGTAGGATTATAATTTATTTGTATAATTTTTATGATATTTTGATTCCAATTGAGTTGCAATTTTTTCTTAGCAAAATTGCGCTTAGACTTCAATATTTCAGATTTAATTTTTATTTCATTATAATTTATCTTTCCAAGTAATTTCAAATTTGAGAATTTTCAAAGAAATCTTAAAAATTATATAAACATTTTTTTTTAAGTTAAAAGTGGATTTGTTTTTATTATTATTTTTAAAGTCAATATTACTAATAGAAAATTTTTTATTTAATTAAAAAAATTTATTTTTTATTCATAATAATACTAAATATTTCAAAAAAAAATATTTATGATAAAAATATGAATAAAAAGAAAAATTTTTCCTTTTTTTTTTTTAAATTAATACAAATAAATTTATTAATTAAAATAATATAATAAAAATATGAATAAAAAAGAAAATTTTCTTTTTTTTTTAAATTAATACAAATAAATTTATTAATTGTAAATTTCATTAAAATCGAACATAAAAAAATGATTATTAATAAAAAGTAAAAAGAAGAATTTTTCCTTATTTTTTAATTAGTATAAATAAATTTATTAATAGTAAATTTAAATTAAATTTACCATCTAAAAAAAAATGATTTAAATGTAAGAAAAGAAACAAGTTACCTTCTATTAGACTAAAATAAATTATCATTAAATTTACTCTAAAAATCGAAGAATTGCAACTTATAATATTTTTAAGAATTTGTTTGTTGTACTCGTAGAGTTTTACGTTTATTTATTTTTTGCGTTGATAATTCGGTGAATTACGAATTCTCCAAACTCCCGGTCGACACGTCACTTAAAATTAATACATCACAACGTAAAACGGAGTGAATATGAAGATGTAATACTATATTGGTTAACGCACGCCTTTTCCCCACTCTAGTCGCAAAACTCCACACGCAACGTTAACTCGTCAAGACGTCAACGTGTGTTTTGCCCGTCCCTGTTCACGTAACGTAACACTCGTTTGCCTACTGATTGTCTTTCAAATCACTTTTTTATTTATTACTATTACCACAACCTAAAAAACGTGTCATATTTATCTTAATTACATAAAAAAACAGTGAAAAATTTTTTTTTATCAATTATAACAGCAAATCAGTGAAATATTAATTAATTATTTTAAGCAAATCACATTTTTTTGACAATCTATTTACCGTCATGTTTAATTATGGAAGAGTATTTACAATTTACACCCGAGGTATGAAAATTTAATTTTTTTTATCGTTTAATTAAATAAAAGAACATTTATTTTTATAATTTTTATTAAAAATTATGAATATTAATTTTTGCAGACGTCCTAAATTATTTTTTTTTATTTAATAAATTTCTTATTTTATAAATAATAAAAAAAAATGTTCAATTAAATAAAAGAACATTTTTTTTATAATTTTTGTTAAAAATTATGAATATTAATTTTTGCAGACGTCCTAAATTATTTTTTTTTTAATAAATAAATTTCTTATTTTATAAATAAAAAAAATTAAAAATTAATTTTGAAATTTTTTAAAATACTTTCTAGTTTTTTACATTTATTTTTTTAATATCAAGTTTATAATTATTTGAAAACTTTTAAAAATTAGTTATTTAATTTTACACTCATAAAAAATTTTCTTTTTTTTTTTTTAACAACAATCACCTATTCGATGCTCCTTTCTTCATCTGGTTCTACGCGATGTTTTCTGCGTTTTTTGTTCCCCCTAACGACCAGTTTAATAATAATCACGACTTTATGATAGTCGCATTTTTTTATACTCATTTTTAACGGTAAAAAATTGAATATTTAATTTATAAAAACTGATTATTAAACGCTTTATATTATGACGACTTTTACAAAAAAAGCAAGATTTTCGATTAAACGTTATTTTGGTGAGTTTTTTTTTAATTACTGGTTTTTTAATCATACTTGAAAAATTATAAAAAATATATAGTTGATCTTCAAAACTTTTAAAATGGAAATGTCAGACATTTAATCATTTTCACGGTTTTGTTATCTATTTAATTTAATTATTGATAAAATTACCTTAATTTTATTGAAACTGTACTTTAAAAAAATGTCTTGGAATTTTTATGACTTTTTAATCAATTATTAATAAAAAAAAAAAAAATTCCACGTGTAAAAATTAAAAAAAACTTTAAGTACAATTTTTTTATTTTTTTTTTAAATTGAAAAATTATTAGGATTATTTTTGCAAATAAATAATTAAAAAAAAAATTCCACAGGTAGAAATTAAAAGAAAAATATGAATGTGATTTTTAAAGGAATTTTCTTCAGTTTTAATTGATTTTTCAAATAAAACAAAAAAATTTTCAAATATTTATTAATTTAATTTCTATTAAAATTAACAGACATTTGATAATAATTTAAAGAATTTCTTTTTTTAACAAATTTTGACAAAAAAAAATTCTACGTGTTGAAATTATGAATAATTAGCAACCTTTTGTAGTCACTATGTGACTGCCGTGACTAGTGAAATATAAATAAATAAAATTTTGGTTTATTAAATAATGAATTTCATAAATTGCACTCTACTTTCTTAAATATTGACGATTTTAAAAATATAAGCTCATCCCGATGTTACACTCATCAAGAGCTTTCATTTGAGTACCCACATGCATTTTGATATATTTTTCATATATACATACATATAATATATATAAATATATGAAAAATTGATGTGGGTACTCAAATGAAAGGTCTCGATGAGTGTAACTCCAGAATGAGCTTATATCTTTAAAAATGTCAATAATAAAGAAATGATTGTGTATTTTGTCTACTGATGATATTTTTAATGATATAAGCTCATTTTGGAGTTACACTTATCAAGACCTTTCATTTGAATACCCACACGAATTTTTTTATATATTTTATATATTTCACAAATATGAGAAATATCATATATATATAAATATATGAAAAAATTGATGTGGGTATTCAAATGAAAGGTCTCGATGAGTGTAATATCAGAGTGAGCTTATATCTTTAAAAATATCATTAGTTGACAAGATACAATGTCATTTCTTAATTATTGACGTTTTCAAAAATATAAGCCCATCCCAATGTTACACTCATCAAGAGCTTTCATTTGAGTACCCACATGCATTTTTGATATATTTGTCATATATACATATATGTATAAATATATAAAATATATGAAAAATTGATGTGGGTACTCAAATAAAAGGTCTCGATGAGTGTAACGTCGGAGTGAACTTATATCTTTAAAAATGTCAATTATAAAGAAATGGCTGTGTATTTTGTCTACTGATGATATTTTTAATGATATAAGCTCATTTTGGAGTTACACTTATCAAGACTTTTCATTCGAATACCCACACGAATTTTTCCATATATTTTACAAATATGAGAAATATGATATATATATGAAAAAATTGATGTGGGTACTCTAATGAAAGGTTTCAATGAGTGTAATGTCGGGATGAGCTTATATCTTTAAAAATGTCAATAGTTCTCAAGATACAAGGTAATTTCTTAATTATGTATCTGGAGATAGAGAATCTTTACATGCTGCCTTCTGACTTCAATTTTATAATATTTTGTAATGTTTCTATATTGTAAATCATAAATAATAATAAAAAATTTAATTTATTTGTTAACAGGTAAGTCTCCATTTTTTCCCGGTCTTGAAGATCAAACTGGAACTTTATTAGAAGATCCAACCGCAGGGCAGCTAGATGGTGTAGGTGTTGGAGTTGGTGTCGGCGTGAGCATGAATCCGCCACAAGCAGCACCACTATCATCGCCAAGTCGCAGCAGTCCTCACAGCCAAAGCAGCGAAACTGGAGAACGTTTCTCAAGGAAAGTCTTCGTTGGTGGTTTGCCACCTGACATTGATGAAGGTTCGTTGATGGTTTTAAAACTTGCTTAATTATTTAACATGCTTCAACTAATTTTAACTTTCGAAAAAAAAAAAAAAAATTAATAAATAAATTCTCTTAAATCAATTATACTGTTAACGTTACAGTACCCAAAAAAAAAACAGGCATAATAATTTACTTAAATGGAAATTTTCAGATGAAATCACTGCGAGTTTCCGTCGATTTGGACAACTAGTTGTCGACTGGCCGCACAAAGCAGAAAGCAAGTCATACTTTCCTCCAAAAGGTTACGCTTTCCTTCTATTTCAGGTAAACCATAATAACTATCTTAAATCGTAATAGTAAGTCTAACCAAGTTAATTGTATTACAAAAAACCGTAAAAAAATCTAGGCTATCATCGGACAGGTGAACTCTGTTATTAACATTCATTTTTTAAATTTTACTTTTTATTTAATAAGATAGATTAATTTAACTGAGTTAATTTTTTAATTTTTAAATATTTTAATTAATACTAGTATACTGTAGTTACTATGTGACTGCCAAGATTTATGGATTATTAAGAGTATTTGGAGTATTAATAAGAAAACTTTGGCTTGATGATTTTTTTAATACTGAAAATCATACTATACTTAGTTTAGGTACTTTTTAAAAAAATTTTAAAAATAATAGTGCTATATAAGGATCAATTACAAATTAATTAATGGTCAAATGAAACGGAGCAAATTTATAAAACCAACAAGCTAAATTCTGATCTATCATTCAATCTATATTATTAAGAGAATAAGAAAAATTTTGTGTCTAGGATAGTCATATGATATAATCGGTTTTTTTAGTGAAATTTAGTGTCATTGCAAAAGTCTTGATTTAAATTTGTGCCTTTTTAAGCTTTCATATCATTCTCAACGATAGTCAATTATGATGATAAGTATTTAGGCTGCATTCGAAAATTCTCTATCTCTATACATAATTGAGAAATGACCTTGTATCTTGTGAACTATTGACATTTTTAAAGATATAAGCTTACCCCGACATTACGCTCATCGAGACTTTTCATTTGAGCACCCACATCAATTTTTCATATATTTTATATATTTATATATATTGTATATATTTATATATATTGTATATATTTATATATGAAAATATGTCAAAAATGCATGTGGGTATTCAAATAACAGCTCTTGATGAGTATAATATCAGGACGAGCTTACATCTTTAAAAATGTCAATAATTAAGAAATGACCTTGTATCTTGTGAACTAATGATATTTTTAAAGATATAAGCTCATCCCGATGTTACACTCATCAAGACTTTTTATTTGAGTACCCACATCAATTTTTTCATATATTTTGTATATTTATATATATTTGGTATATTTATATATAAAAAATATATCAAAAATGCATGTGGGTATTCAAATGAAAGCTCTTGATGAGTGCAACATCGGGATGAGCTTATATCTTTAAAAACGTCAATAATTAAGAAATTACCTTTTATCTTGTGAACTATTGACATTTTTAAATATATAAGCTCATCTCGATATTACACTCATCGAAACCTTTCAGTTGAGTACCCACATCAATTTTTCATATATTTTATATATTTATATATATTATATATATTTATAAATGAAAAATATATCAAAAATGCATGTGGGTATTCAAATGAAAGCTCTTAATGAGTGCAATATCGGGATGAACTTATATTTCAAAAAACGCCAATATTTAAGAAAGTATGGTGCAATTTAACAAAAGTCATTATTGAATAAAGAAAATTTTATTACTTTTTAAATAAATTCTAAAAATAGTAGTGCTATGATAAGATCAATTACAAATTATTTAATTGACAAATATGACGGAGCAAATTTATAGAACCAACAAACTATTCAAAACTGCTCCAAAAACTTGACATAAAAAATTGACTATTCTTGAAAAATTACATAAAAGAGTAAAAAGACACAAATTTTTATCAAAACTTTTCTGATGATACTAAATTTAACTATAAAAAGTTATAATATGCTCTTCAAAAAATTTTCCTTACTCTCTCAATTATTTAAATCATTAATGAATATCGCTGAAAGAATTGAATTAATTAATCGCTGAAATTAAATATTGCTGAGAAACATAAAACATTGAAAAGTCACTAATTCAGGTCAAGACCTTCCCAATAGTACTAAATTTAATTTAAATAAATTCATTTTATCATATCAACACGCCGGAGACAAAATTTTCCTTATTCTCTTAATTAAATAGATTATCAAATTTAATTAATAATTCCAACTCTTGACTAGAGTTATACTTAGACTGGAGTTGTTTTCAGTCAATAATAATACAATTAATCAAAACTTTAAATTATCTTCTTCAATTATTAATTTAACAATGAAATTAATTTTTGACATAATTACATAGCTTTTATTTATTAAATTATTTTAATAGAATTTATTTTTGTGACTTGGCTTTAAAAGTTAAATCATTTTTTTCAGGACGAAAGCTCAGTGCAGCAATTAATTGACGCTTGTATTCAGGACGACGACAAGTTGTATCTTTGTGTCAGTTCACCAACAATTAAAGACAAACCTGTGCAAATACGCCCTTGGCGTTTAAGCGACGCAGATTTTGTCCTCGATGCTTCAATGACACTTGATCCACGGAAGACTGTTTTTGTCGGTGGTGTACCAAGACCTTTGAAAGCCGTTGAACTGGCAATGATAATGGATCGGCTTTATGGTGGCGTTTGCTATGCAGGAATTGATACCGATCCCGAGCTTAAGTATCCTAAAGGTGCTGGACGAGTTGCTTTCAGTAATCAGCAAAGCTATATTAGTGCTATTTCAGCTCGATTTGTTCAATTACAACACGGTGATATCGATAAAAGAGTATGTATTATTATTATTATAATAATTATTATTATTATTATTATTATTATTCTATAGCTTTAATTTCATTTATTAATCATTTAAATTTTATTTTATAATTAATTATAATTTTTCTTCTTAGGTTGAAGTTAAGCCCTATGTTCTGGATGATCAGATGTGTGACGAATGTCAAGGCCAACGATGTGGTGGTAAATTTGCACCATTCTTCTGTGCCAACGTCACCTGTCTTCAGGTACAATTCTTTTTATTTTTTTTTATCTTCCTTGTGGTTAATTATCTCCTGGGAAGTAAAGTGAACTAACTTTCAAAGACTTGAAAATTTTATAACTTATTTCTTGCTATTATTTTAGTTGAGACAATTAATTGGTAATTTGAAAAGAGGGACTACATTTATATAATAAAAAAGTTGAAAAAAATTAAATTCTTATCGAAAATTTTAAATTATGTTTCTTAAAATAAGTGAAATAATTTTTACTAGCAATCTTGCAGTCACTGTGTGACTGCCGTGACTGGAGAACAATAAATAAATAAAATTTTGCTTTATTGAATAATGAATTTTGTTAAATTTCAGTGTACTTTCTTAACTATTGACGTTTTTAAAGATATAAGCTCATCCTGATGTTACACTCATCAAGAGCTTTCATTTAAGTACCCACATGCATTTTTGATATATTTATCATATATAAATATATATAATAGAGTGTGCCAAAATATAACTTCCTTGATGGACCTCTTAAAATTGGAATATTGAGTTCCGCTTTTAACAGGAGCTATGTTTGGGCATTTCCTGACATATTTTGAGCGTAAAGGATTTATTTGATTTTTATAGAATTTTTTATCAGGAGTTTTGTTCGGCCATTTTTGCTGGAATTTAAAATTTTCAAAATTTAGCCGAACAAAACTCCTATTAAAAAATTCTATGAAAATCAAATAAATCCGTTACGCTCAAAATATGTCAGGAAATGCCCAAACACAACTCCTGTTAAAAGCGAAACTCAAAATTCCAATTTTAAGAGGTCCATCAAGGAAGTTACATTTTGGCACACCCTAATATAATGTATAATATATATAAATATGTAAAATATATGAAAAAATTGATGTGGGTACTCAAAAGAAAGGTCTCGATGACTGTAATCTCGAGATGAGCTTATATATTTAAAAATATCATAAGTTAACAAAATATAATGTCATTTCTTAATTATTGGCATTTTTAAAGATATAAGCTCATTCCGATGTTGCACTCATCAAGAGCTTTCATTTGAGTACCCACATGCATTTTTGATATATTTTTCATATATACATATATATAATATATATAAATTTATGAAAAAATTGACGTGGGTCCTCAAAAGAAAGCTCTCGATGAGTGTAATGTCAAGATGAGCTTATATCTTAAATAAAAAATATCATTAGTTAACAAGATACAATGTCATTTCTTAATTATTGACATTTTTGATGATATAAACTCATCCCGATGTTACACTCATCAAGAGCTTTCATTTGAGTGCCCACATGCATTTTGATATATTTTTCATATTTAAATATATATAATATATATAAATTTATAAATATATGAAAAAATTGATGTGGGTACTCAAATGAGAGGTCTTGATGAGTGTAACATCGGGTCAATATTTAAAAAAGTACAGTGCAAAAATTGATGTGGGTACTCAAATGAGAGGTCTTGATGAGTGTAACATCGGGATGAGTTTATATCTTTAAAAATGTCAATAGTTCTCAAGATACAAGGTCATTTCTTAATTATGTATCTAGAGATAGAGCATATCGACGGTACTTTGGTAAAACCTCGTATCTTCTATGTATTTCAAATGAGAGATACGAGGTTTTACCAAAGTACCGTCGATATTCGAATGCAGCTTAAATACTTCTCATAATAAATTACAAAATTGATTGTAAATTTTATTATTAAAAATGAAGTTCTCCCGACTTCGGAGCAATTACCAATTAGTTTTCTATATTAGATACTATTGTAAATTTCTTTAAGCATGATCTAACTGTTGAATACTATTAATTTTATTTCCAACTACATTACACAATATCTAGGTGGGAATTCGTAGGTATTAACTCAATACTTTTTGATTCGATGATAACTTTTAAGGCTTCTTACAGTAGTCTACTCACTACATATAAATTTACCTTGAATAGTAATCTATATGAATCCACTAAAAATCAGTCGAAATCCACCAATCCAATTTTTTTCATAAAAAAAAAAATATATACACATATATATTCCCATAAAATTCGTTAAAATATATTCAACAATACTATATTTAATATAAAAAAATTGATAAATTAAAATTTTTCATAAAAGAAATAACCTTAGTTCACTTTATCTAACAGTTGCTCAAATTTATATTAGTTAAATAAAAAAAAAAAAAAAAAAATCTATAATGATATATATTTATTTAATGATTTTAGTACTATTGTGAACATTGTTGGGCAACGATTCATTCAAGACCAGGACGTGAATTTCACAAACCGCTTGTTAAAGAAGGCGCAGATAGACCACGTGCAGTGCCGTTCCGCTGGTGTTAACCCCCAGCTGGGTTTTATAACAATATCGCGGTCTTAGCTAATTAACTATTATTTTTACAATCCTCTTATATCTTTATCAACTTCTACTATTACTTTATTACTCTACTACTTCTATTCTTAATACTATTACAACAACTATTGATAATATATTAATCGTCACGACTTATTGTTAATCCACATCGTTTATCAGAATTTAATGATTATCAATAATTGATGATCTGATTAATTAAACTATTGATCACTTTTTAATACACAATCAGCTGAATTTGCTAAATTTAAGTTAAGTTCAGCTTGTTATCAACTATTTTATATCGATCTCAATGGACTTAAGCGTACGAAGGATAATTATAATATTATTTATTGGATAATCTAATCAAAAGAACGTTAAATTTAACTAAAAAAATTTAATTATCAATTGACTTTATACGCAGTATGGATCTTTTATAATACAGAAGCTTTAATGCTGTATATTATAGACAGTTAATCGTTAGGCAAGACCCAATTCTGCAGTAAAAAAAGTAAATTCAAAAAAAAAATATTGATAAAATATTTTTGGTCTCCAATCGAGGGAAGTAAATTTTTTTTTTAATTCTCTAACCTGTGTAGAGAACTATTTTTTTGTGGTAAATGAAGTGGAAAAAATTCGCACGTCCAAATCCTTCCGTTGGATCCTGTAGTAATTATTATATTAAAAAATATTTAAATATCATCTTGAGAAAAAAAAAATTTTTCCAATTTAAGATCAAGATTTGAATTTATACTAGTGATTATACATGGCAAAAACAAGATTACACTGGATTTTATCCCAGATTATACTCAGTGATATCTGTAGTGAAGTAAAATTTTCAGATTATAGCTAGAAAAGTCCAGATTATGGGTGATATCTGGATTATCATCATTATAATCTAAATTTTTATCATTGGAATCTGGATTATAATCATTACAATCTTGACTATAATCGTTATAATCTAGATTATAATTATTGTAATCTGATCATAATCAATGTAATCTTGATTATACTCATAATCTTGATTATACACATTGTGATCTAGATTTTAATCATTGCAATCTGAATCATAATCATTGTTATCTTGATTATACTCATAATCTTGATTATAATGACTGTAATCTTGATTATACTAATTGTAATCTGGATTATAATTATAATCTGGATTTTACTAGGTACTATCTAAAATTTTTTTTTTACTAAGTATAATCTGAGATAATATCCAGTGTCATCTTATTCTTTCCATGTAACCTGATAAAAAAAATACAACACATAATAATCATACATTTAAAGATTAAAATAATTAAAACTCAATACTTAGCGAAAAAATCTTTACAGCTATATATATAAATATCGTTTGTATATATGTTCTCGATATCGTAAATTTGCTACGCAAGTAAAACCCTTGCGACCCACGAGTTGACGAGATATTAATAAATTAATCTTCTATCTCTATTTAGGCTGCATTAAAGGGCAAAAAAAAAAAAAACATTTTATTTGCAGCTCGTATTTATAAGTAGTCAAAAATAAAAATGTTTGTCAAGAATTTTTTAATGCAAACGTGATAATTGTCTACGAAAAAAAAAAAAAAAAAAAAAAAAAAAACGTTCTTTTAATCAAATAAAAACATAAATTTATTATTACTTATATACGATAATTAGTCGTATTTTGATCAATAAACAATAATTAAGTTTATTGAATTTAAATAACTTCAAAAGACATTGATCGATTCGATTTTAAGAAAAAACAACAATAATTTTTTTATGTAATTAGATAAATTTATATTAATTGAATTTCCAATAAATTATTAATTTTTTATTTTTATTATTATAAATAAAGAAATTATTAATGAAACGTATGTGAATAATTAATGAGCGTTAGGTAGAGCAATTTTACTACAAGTCTTTGGGTCACTTTTTTCTCCATTGACAATTTTTAGATAATTATGAACCAAAAAAAAAAAATAAAATATGTAATAATAATAATGACGGTTCTTAAAAAAAAATTATTAGGATATTAATGTGTTCTACGACTAGAACATTCGCATGGATAAATCGTACAGATGTACATAGTGTGTTAAGCGCATAAATTTATCCGCGAAAAATTAAATAAAATAATTTGATATAAATTTAATTAGTAATTACACTTAAAAAAAAAAAAAAAGGAACGTTTGAATATTCTCATTAACTGAAACTTCATATTTTTGGCCATGTAGTTTTAGCAATAAATATAATCTGGCAGTCAATCTTTTTACGTGTTATATATCGTGACTATATAAAAAAAAAAAATAAAATTAAGTTTAATAAAAAAATATCTAAATAATAAAATTACGCCAGCCGTTTGCCATCTTCTAATTCTAGAAAATCACTACAAAAAAATTTTATTTAATTATTAATATTATTATTATTATTATTATTAAGATTATTATTAACTAAAAGCATTTATATATAATTAATTTTTAAAAACTAGAGCTAAATTTGTCCTCTATATCGACAATCTTAAATTTTTTAAATATAAAAACTGCAAACGTCTGGCAAATTGATTTTTATATTATCGAATCTTATTTATTTACTATTTTTTTTAAAGAAAACTTATTTTGTTATTAATTTGTTAAAAAAAAAAAATAAAAATATACAGAAAAATTTTGTAGTAAATCAAAAATAAATTTGACATAAACCAAAAAAAATCGCTTGGTTAAAGACCGAATATCATGCTTTGAATCATCAAGATAGATAATAAACAATTTACATATTCCAGATCATAAATAGAAAAAATTTGTATAGTAATTAACTTCATGGACATAAGTACAGTTACGGAGAAAATTTTAGGGGAATAATTTAATCTTGATTATAATGACTGTAATCTTGATTATACTAATTGTAATCTGGATTATAATTATAATCTGGATTTTACTAGGTACTATCTAAAATTTTTTTTTTACTAAGTATAATCTGAGATAATATCCAGTGTCATCTTATTCTTTCCATGTAACCTGATAAAAAAAATACAACACATAATAATCATACATTTAAAGATTAAAATAATTAAAACTCAATACTTAGCGAAAAAATCTTTACAGCTATATATATAAATATCGTTTGTATATATGTTCTCGATATCGTAAATTTGCTACGCAAGTAAAACCCTTGCGACCCACGAGTTGACGAGATATTAATAAATTAATCTTCTATCTCTATTTAGGCTGCATTAAAGGGCAAAAAAAAAAAAACATTTTATTTGCAGCTCGTATTTATAAGTAGTCAAAAATAAAAATGTTTGTCAAGAATTTTTTAATGCAAACGTGATAATTGTCTACGAAAAAAAAAAAAAAAAAAAACGTTCTTTTAATCAAATAAAAACATAAATTTATTATTACTTATATACGATAATTAGTCGTATTTTGATCAATAAACAATAATTAAGTTTATTGAATTTAAATAACTTCAAAAGACATTGATCGATTCGATTTTAAGAAAAAACAACAATAATTTTTTTATGTAATTAGATAAATTTATATTAATTGAATTTCCAATAAATTATTAATTTTTTATTTTTATTATTATAAATAAAGAAATTATTAATGAAACGTATGTGAATAATTAATGAGCGTTAGGTAGAGCAATTTTACTACAAGTCTTTGGGTCACTTTTTTCTCCATTGACAATTTTTAGATAATTATGAACCAAAAAAAAAAAATAAAATATGTAATAATAATAATGACGGTTCTTAAAAAAAAATTATTAGGATATTAATGTGTTCTACGACTAGAACATTCGCATGGATAAATCGTACAGATGTACATAGTGTGTTAAGCGCATAAATTTATCCGCGAAAAATTAAATAAAATAATTTGATATAAATTTAATTAGTAATTACACTTAAAAAAAAAAAAAAAGGAACGTTTGAATATTCTCATTAACTGAAACTTCATATTTTTGGCCATGTAGTTTTAGCAATAAATATAATCTGGCAGTCAATCTTTTTACGTGTTATATATCGTGACTATATAAAAAAAAAAAATAAAATTAAGTTTAATAAAAAAATATCTAAATAATAAAATTACGCCAGCCGTTTGCCATCTTCTAATTCTAGAAAATCACTACAAAAAAATTTTATTTAATTATTAATATTATTATTATTATTATTATTAAGATTATTATTAACTAAAAGCATTTATATATAATTAATTTTTAAAAACTAGAGCTAAATTTGTCCTCTATATCGACAATCTTAAATTTTTTAAATATAAAAACTGCAAACGTCTGGCAAATTGATTTTTATATTATCGAATCTTATTTATTTACTATTTTTTTTAAAGAAAACTTATTTTGTTATTAATTTGTTAAAAAAAAAAAATAAAAATATACAGAAAAATTTTGTAGTAAATCAAAAATAAATTTGACATAAACCAAAAAAAATCGCTTGGTTAAAGACCGAATATCATGCTTTGAATCATCAAGATAGATAATAAACAATTTACATATTCCAGATCATAAATAGAAAAAATTTGTATAGTAATTAACTTCATGGACATAAGTACAGTTACGGAGAAAATTTTAGGGGAATAATTATAACAAAAAGCTAAATAATGACACTGAAGTTAGCGGACGTCTAAAAATTTTTGATTTTTTTTATTAATTAAATTACAACTAAAAAAATATTTCTAAGAAATTGCAGTTATAGTTTGTCAAGTTTTTTACATGTGAAATTTTTTTTTTTTAATTATTTAATTGAAATTTTTTCAATAAAAAATTCCTAAAAATTTTGTAATGTCGGTAAACTTCATTTTCATGCTAAATAAGGTAAAAGTCCCAATTATTGACATTATAAAAGACAAAGGTATGATTTGAATTTTTTTAAGCAATCAAATATCAATTTCGTTGAATTTTTTTTGTAGTAATGTCTCTAGTAATGTGTTTACTAATTAATTTTTTTTTTTAAATGATAATCAGTGATATTTACTAATTTTAAATAATTAAATATAGTAAAGTTA